ATCAGAGCAACATTTGAGAAATCGTATCGTAGCTGCAGCGAACAGAATATCGCAAGAACAGTGCCTGGCTGCTACAAGAGCCGTGTTTGACAGATGCAATGCTTGTATTGCTGCAAGAGGTGCACATTTCGAACAAAATCTTCATTAAAAAGTTTATAAATAAAATAATTAAAATAATAAATTAAATATATTTTTTTCTTTTTTCGTGATTTCCTGCGAAACAAAGCAAAAAGGAGCATATGTCTATAGGACTTTTTTTCTTAGTTTTTTACTCCTCTACACGCTCCCGAAGTTTTGCCATTTAATTTGGAAACACCCTGTATATCGGTATACACAGTGAGTGCATTCAGTATTACAACCGTTCACTGAGCGCTCAGTGAGCGCTTGCATCTTATTGGCATATTCCGTTAGAACTAAAAATATAGACCAGACACAAGAGCTCACTGAACGCTCAGTCGTGATACTGAATGCACCCATTTTTAGGGCCCCTGTCACCAAGTGGTCTTTAAACGCCATTATATATAAGATATTTTAATTGTTATGTTTAATTTATATGCAGATATTTTGTAATTAATACGATATATTTTGAGACATGAGTAAGAATCATAAACGTTTAAAACGCCTAAAATCGGAAAAGGCGAAAGTGAAATTCGAAACAAAGACCGTTTATCAACAACGGATCATGCGTTTCCGTTTTCATTTTTATCTTTTTATATATCACCCCTAGCAAAAATAAAAACTGGAACGTAAGTTGAATGTAAGGGGAGAGGAACAGAAGCGTATTATAAATTAATAAGCTTCTAAAAAGTAAAATTGAAACAAAACGTAAAAGAGATATTTACCCTTTTTTATGTTTCATTGTCTCAATGAAAAGTAACGATTCGTTACTTTTTCGTTACTTTTTTTTATAATGCTAAAGTAAGTTATTAGATTTTAAAATTACGTTAGCTGATAATATTAATTTAATATTAAATGTAAAATAAATATTCAAACTTGAAACTCTCTATTAACTAGTTTGTATATAGAGCAAGTTTTTCTCTATTAAACTTACTTACAGTTTTACTAATTCTTTATTTTTTTAATAATGTTATTTCAATGTACTCATTTTTATAAGAATTTAGATTAAACAGATAATAGATTAAACATTGTTTTTAAATGTTAATGTTCCCTGGTGGAAAAAAATCGGTGAAATCTTTATCAATCAAAAGACCCATTTGAGTATAATTAACAATGAAATGAGTCCATTGATGGAGATTTCAGCGATTTTCAGTGATTTCAGCGATTTATTTTCACCAAGGTTACTATTATGTGTATTTCAATATTTATTGCTCGTATAAAAAATTTACAGTAGAGGAGAAAGTGATATTATGGCCAGTGTATATATTGTGACCTCCCTTAATATCTCCACTATTATATAGAGAAGATCCTAATGATTATTTATGGAATTATTAGTTCAGTAGCTCACCATGACACTAATATTATCAATATTCAATAGCCAGCACTTATTACACAGTTCGACAAAAAAATCAATTTTTTTTTCTTCCCATGGAAAATTCAAAGAGATTCTGAAAATAGATGTAAAAACAATATACCCGTATTTCGGCATTTTACCAGATCAAGTCGTTAACGTTTTTTCAGTATCATCGAATGTCTTTTTATAACATTGTACAGCACAGATTTCCTCCCATGAAAAACTCAGAGATTCTAAAAATAGACGTAAAAAAAGTATATTCGTATCTCGGCACTGACTTACTTCAACACTGTCGCGATCTAAACAAAGCATACTAAACAAAGCGACGTGATATCAGAATCCAGCTCATTCCTCGATCTTGCAGTTCGAACAATCGCGACCGTAGATTAGTCATCCAAAAAAAAATATTCTGCCGATATAAGCGGGGAATTCCTCTTAGCATTTCCTCTAAGCAAAAAATCTTACATTAATCTTACATTAATCAGGTGCACGTATTTATAACACGTATTCATTTATAAAAATGAGGACACATAAGCTACAATCAAAAATCATCTCTCTCTCTTTCTCTCTCTATATATATATATATATATATGTGTGTAATATGTGAATTATATATTTTCAACATTAGCAGTGCTTATTCGAATACAGTATAAGATATTAAGTACAAAATATTTTTTAAGAAATTAAGAATAAATTATAAAATAAGAAAATAATAAGGAACTAAAATAACGGTAAAAGTAACGGCTAATTCGTTACCGTTACAAACAGAAAAAAGTAACGATCGTTACTGAAAAAAAGTAATGAAAACGGTAACGGCGTTCTTTCCAATTCTGCTAGATGAATGGTTTCTGGCAGATTCCTGTGTTATTTCTATCGTTATCACTCGCATCGTGCAAAGAGCATTCGTACGTGAACTCCTAGACACATTCCAGCTAAAAAAAAAAAAAACAGCCCAAGGCAAGCCCACTCATACGATTGATCTGCCGCACATGCGCAGAAAGCGCATTCCCACTATAGCAACACCGAATACTCAGGAACTGCGTATTGTAGGGACCGTGTCGCCTACGCCGACCTACGGTACTCATTTCCTACGCCGTAATCCGTTTTCTCGGATGCATCGATTTTTGCTTTGCAAGCGGTAATTCGCGCCTGATTCGATTCCCAAGGGCACCTTCTGTTACGAATTAATGAATTGTATCGCTAATAAGCGAGAAATTCGATGACGTCGGACAAATATTTCGCCACAAATACGGGACTACTTCGCACGCCAACGCGGAAGGTTACACTCAAAGACAACCATTCGGATATATAAGGCCCCCACTACGAGTATCGCGCGGCCATTCTACATGTCCTCTCTAAACGGTGCGGCTGGATCTCGCTTATATACGCCTCAGGCAACGCTGGCCGTATTGTCTCCGGAATTCTCAGGAAGAGGCAGGAGCCATTAATTTAATTAAGAAGCCTCAGGCGACTTTACTGCTGGCGAGCGATCGACTAGGCGTGAGTTAGATACAGGTTGGTGTATTCGATACTTAAATCAATACTTAGTTGTACGATGGGGCGAACTAGAATAGTTCCTACTTACGGAAGTGTGACGCAATTATCCGCGATCACGAGAGACATTCGCGATCGGCCGCGAGAGATTGAGATGGGCAAGCCGAGCCACACGGAACAATTGACCAGCTGGATCACTAACGTGCGTCAGAAGAAGCTGAAGTGCCATAGGAGCCCCAAACGCGATTTCCGTATGGAAGCCGTGTTGACTCACACCCTACACAAGGCGGAATACGAGTTGCGGGCTAAACAGTTATCAAGGATAGCTCGTTGGCGGCGTTTGCGAAAGCATCTTCTCAAGGATGTGGAGTACGGCAGTTGCGGCCTGTACAATACGACTGAACGAGTGTTCGAGAGATGCCATCATCCTGACTCGAGGAACATGAATTTCTGGCGGGATGACTTGTGCGAAGACCTTAGCAGCATAGTGAACTTCCTTCAGCAGCTGAGTACAATCAAATCGTCCGTGCAGCGGTGACTAGACCTGGAGAGTACACGGTCTTGTTTCCACAGATCGAAATATTGTATCTGCAAAGATGTAAACATTTGCAAATAACTTTCGATCGTATCTTCAAGTTCATCCAAGCTTATTCGAGTGAAAGAGCCACGTCAGGAAACATTCTGCCGCATTAACTCCTGATAAGAGAGTGCATTTAATCAACTACAACACGCTATACGATAAATGCCGATACGACGATCTATGGATGGATGTCTCGATGTCTTTATCTTCTGCATGTTTTTTCTCTGTCTCACTGAAGCAGAATAGGAAATATTTGACTTACGAACCAATCTACTCTGTATGAAGCTATGTTCCAATATCAGCAAGCAACCTCGATGTATCCAGAAGATGCCAAATAATCCTGCAGCGTTACGGAAATTTTTTGCAGTCTCATTGTTACTAGTATATATCTAGATATTTTTTACTTGCAGTCTCACCGTTTGAGATGGAGGACGCAGGTGGAAAAAAAGGATAGAGAGAAAGAGAGAGAGAGATAGAGTTGCTGTAATGCAGGTGCAGACGATACCTTGGGATTTTGTACGCATACACACATACACATCTGCCTTCCTGCCTATCATCAATTTGGTTTGTAAACTGTATCGAAACCAAAGTATTTTCACTATTTAGAATTTGTCTGCTAATATAATATATTTAACATGTGTATAAATTAAAGTCAAATACTGATAAAGAACAGAAAGGAAGAAAAATTTTCACATTTAAACATATACTTCTAAGTTTGTAATAAATTTGTAAATTCATATACATACAGGCCCGTATTCAGAACTCGCTTACAGCGACGTTAGCGCGCTAACATGTTATACTTTACGTTATGTATATTATAGAAATTCAGAGATAAAAGCGCTCTTTTATCGATAAAAGTGCATTCTGAATACGAACCATATTATAAGACTGCCTTGCATTGTGATAATAATTCTGTTAGTGTATAGCATTTAATTCTTCTTGATCCTGAATAGTATAACAAATAATTAATCCTTTCGATGCAACTATGACATACTCGACTTCTTTTATTTAAATGCTAATTTTTTTTATTAAGAAAACTACATATATTTACATATTCAAATTTTTTTATATTTGTATCATATTTTTTGTAATGTCTTGCGTTTCGATTGAAAAAAACTTGTTATAATGTATTAACTTTTATACGATATTTTTATTTAGAACACCTAGTTATTATATATATATCAAAACATAGTGTGCCATCAAAGGATTAATCAAATTTCTGAAAATTATGATGTATTTTTTATGTCTATTAAATTGTAAATTAATTATAAAATTTTATGTATGAAGTGCAACCTACCAAGGCTCTCAACATTGATGAATTTTTTTCTTACATATTTCTAATATGCTTTATACTGTTTAGGATCAAGGTAAACAAAGACAAAGGATCTCGATTATTGTAAGCCATCGTGATACTTTTATTTTTATATGAAATACATTTGTAAGTAAGTAAAGCTGTGATACAAGTTAGATAAGAAGATGAAATGAGAAGTACTGAGAGGAGTGTAAAATAAATAAATACATTTTTGCAAATAACAATGTAGAACTATTCTTTTTCAACTTTCTATTTACTAATTTATTAATACCATCAATTCTTTTCAGTCTGGCACATAGACATCATAGAAATTCACCTTATCGCGAACGAAGCTGTCAATATATGGACGACGTCGTTATCGTTGGCTTAGGAAACCTATAAGATTGCAGCGAGCAAAAAAAAAGAACCCTAAGGGAGTATATCTGCGTCTTGAGTGAGTGGGAAGGAAAACGTTTGTGTTTCTAGAGGCTGGTTGAATTGGCGCACAAATTATCTTTTGCACGAATCGTCACGATACCGAGCTCGTCTGCGTGGTGACTACAACAATGAGAAATGGCTTTCATGCAGTGAATTTCTATTTCCCCGATCGTTTCCCCAGATCCAGAATAAATTCATTTTCGTTGAATAACATAGGCTAATGATGCAGAGAACCGTTATCTTAAGGTCGCAGGTATACTTCAAATAAGGTAATTCGGCATGCGAATAACCTATTAGAGTTATCGGAAGTTTCTCCTGATTGTAAAGTTTCCATTTTTATGCTTGTTCTGCGTTGCCATAATAATGTGTTCATAGATCTGCGCAACCTTCGGCCATGCCGAGACCAGGATAGGACGTTAACGTGTATGTTTTAGATGTTCAGAAAGTATGAGAGACGTTTGGAGGATATATACCGGTGACTTAGCAAATGAAGAAAAAATTGTCGATGTAAAAAGAATATATGCGCAAGGATTATATGTTATGTGTAAGAAATGGCGGAAATGTTAGGTTTTTCGACTTGGTAACGTTGGTTTCAATTGAAGTAGGAACTGAATTTTATTTCATTTCTAATAGTTATCTTGCATCTTATCTTTTTGCAAACACAATTATAATGTCAATTGTAAAAAATCTGAAGATCCGAAGATCTAAGAACTTGGAGACTGATTATCCTGGAACTGTGAGGAATCCATGTATACATCTGGGAATCTTTACTAGCCGAAGCTTTCGAAATCGATGTTTAGAGAATTGAAAAAGAATCTTGATATCTTCATCGAAATCCCAATCTTAGCTGACCAGTTTAAGGATTTAAGTCTGTACCAGCAATGAATCAAGGCACACTCGAAGAGGAAAGAATCATATATAAAATAGAGCACAAATAAGAGCACAAAGAAAAAATATTTTTATTTAAAGGGGTACTAACAACGCAACAAATAGCAAGAGTGACAAATCAACACCAATTGAAAGGAATTTTCTATTACGGTAAAACCTGGCTAAGTAAAATTTATATTTATATGTTTGGATTTTTGATCAAACTGTTTATCTGGTAAGGTGTGTTACATAGTAAATTATCTTTCGTAAGTTCAACACTTTTATATATATAATGAAATATTTAAATGATAAAGTATTGAACTTTTTTTTCAATGATATTCCTGGTAGCAAGCTGACGTCATTTTATCGCCATTTTGACGTCAAAATGATAAGGAAGTGATGTAGCTTTGCTACCAGAGATAATTTTATATTAGAATGTTTTTTGTGGAGATAAATAGAGAGATATAAGATAGGAGGGGGAGGGGAGGGAGGTGCAAATGAGACAAACCTTTCTGATTAACAGACAGCTGCGTGCGTTTGGAAGATTTCTCATCCTATTCGACCGACGAACTGTGGGGAACTGTGGTTCAAATGTCTCGAGATTGGCATACCAAAATGTAAAATGCAATCTATTGAACGTGATTATATCGTGAAGATTTGATGGACGGCTTAAGATAATGAAAATGAGAGTAAATCTGCTAGCGCGTAACTAGTTATCGTTCCTTATATCGTATAATTCCTATATCATACTTGTAATATAATTTACATATTGCATTTTGCTTTGTTCGGTTCTTTTTGTTTTACATAGCAGACAGCAGAACGAAAGAACTAGATCTAAACCCTTCATAGATTAGAAAAACTGCCCTGACCGTCATTATCTGCACAATTCTAATTCGACAACCTGTCGACGATACAACTGGTCCGTGATCATCAGGGGATACCACTGGATTTGTTGTATGAAAACGATAAAGGTAACAAGAGACGAAAGATCATTGTTGATCTCTTTGATCCTTGTACTTTGTGCCTTGTGTGTAGAAATATCGAGGGGGGGGCAGGGGAAAAACCAATGTTCTTATGAGTCATAGGAAGATGCTGCTTTGCACAATGGCAATGAAGAAAAATGTACTTAGAGGATGTTTCGAGATGACACAAGATTACTAGATATAATTGTTGATATCACATATGATGTGATAATATTCTGCTGATGTCTTTCGATAAATTTAGCAAGAATAATTTCATCTGAATCCGCCCAAAGCAAGTTCGCACGAGACTTTCACAAGGATACGCCGAGCACACGGACTATATGAATTTGCAAATCTCGGGATGAAAAAAGTTTAAAAATACGAAATTTAAACATCCAATAATCAACACAAAAGGCTAAAGATATAATACTTCAGTAATTTAACAATTTCAGAATTTCAAGCTCACTCGGATCACATTCAAGAATCTATAAGAGTTTTAGATAATGCTTTTCAAATCACTTTGTTTTCACCATTAATTTAATTATAATGGAATTATTTTATTGCAATTTGCGTATAGGTTCAAACTTTTTATTTTGTAGAAGAAATTGTGACAATTTATCCATTATGGAACTATCTTATATCAAAAGAAGTTAGGGATACTTCATAAAAAAATCTATCCAAATAATAATAAAGTTGACATTTCCTAACTTGAAAAGAGAAAAAAACGCATTGTTTTTAGAAGACATCGATTAAAAAAATTTTTTAAAAGAGGGAGAAAGAGAGAAGTATATAATATATTTCATTATATATACAATAATACACAAATAATTCATTACAAGACATATATTTCATCTTTTAATTAGACCATCTATGGGAGGTATACAGTGAAGGTGACAAAATATATACTACAAATAATGGGGAGGGAAAGATCAAATACTGCTTTGTTTTTTCACAGAAAGCTGTCATTTGAATCACGATGTTTGTTATACACAAAATGTGTTCTAGTCATGGAATGGGTAGGATGGTTCAATCATTTAAGGCATAAATGATTCACAATGTGATATATCATGTTTCTATGGGAACAAGGAAATATATGAAAATTGATATACTCTCTAGTTGGAAAAAGGAAATGATGCAAAATATTAAAGTTCAACTCGGCGGAAAGTTCTTAGCAAGCTGTATCGCTAAAATATATTTTTAACAAGGACTTAGTCTCTTAAAGAGATAGCTTTAGGTTTTGCAACAAGGAGAGCAAAATTGAAAAATACAATTTTCCCGAAGAGGATGAAAATACGAAGTTTGGCATAAATTATATGGACTCGTTCAGTCTAATATTACAGACCGAAATAAGGATTTCAAGCTTTAATAGAACTTTAATAGAATTAATTGGAAAGAAGATGAAATAATTAATGATATAATTAAAAGGAAGATAATAATAGCATGACTCGATAAAATATATTATTAAGAAAAATGTACGGAGCAGTGATAGAGGTAAGCAGCACTGCTGAATTTGTCAGGTAACGGTTTTTAAAAAAGACCTTTTGTCATCATGCTTTTTTAATCGTTTAATTATTGAGCGTTGAGAAATTAACGTCGACTTTTTTTTTAAGCAACTGCTTAATTATTGAGTGTTAAAGGATTAGCATTAGTAATCGGCTTCCTTAAAAATTTGCTAGATCTCATTGTGAGATATTTAATTCAAATTATCCCGGCTAACGCTAAATAATCGTAGAAAGTTCGATTTATATTCTTAATGTGCCGAATATGCCGGAATAGTAAAAGAATCGTCATAGAATGTGCAAATGTCGAGATTGCTTTTACTTTACGTAAATATTTCGGGATATTCTGTAATACTCTTGGAACGTTTTTCTGAGATAAAAACCTTTTATGAATATTTCAGATTCTAACATATGATCTTTAATAACATATATTCATGTTTCTCTTTTTTTCTATGTCTTATAAATATATATTTACGGCTCCTGAGTAGTCACCTATGGTGATTACTCAGAAGTCTTAAGAATATTAGAAGAGAGTAATACTTACATACAAAGTAGTCCTCAGTGTCCTTCCTTCTTCAATGTTATAAACAGTCTTATACGTTTTTTGGCATCCTGAAGAAGCTGGATTCCGTTTTCTTTCTTACTTGTGAGATTCTATTGCAGTTATCGACCAAAGAACCATTTTGGACGTGAGTTACCCGTCTCTTTAAAATTGTTTCCTATTAACGAAGTGTTTTAGAGAGGTACAAAAGTGTTCAACCATGTAATGATCTGCTGTCGGGCTTCGAATTCGACGCTGGTCTCCAAATACGTGCTCGACTGCGAAAGCGTGCCAGTTTGGTCCTCGATTTCTCTTGTCGTTGGCTGCCTTCGAAATTTTGAAGATTTGTCGTCTCTGGGTATATGAGACTTGCGTTATATGTGATTTACCGTTCGTTAGATCAGCAGTCTTCTTGATCAACTAGGATTTCGTCGCAAAAGAGGATTATCGTGGATGTCCGATGCAAAATAGAATATCGTTATAGGACTTGTAAGAAGTCGGTTTTTTTCAACAGCGCTGATGCGAAACGTGCAGATTCTAGAAAAACAACATATTCTTCTTTCTAAAGAAAAGTAAGTAATTTTGTTTATACATTATACTTATATAATCCTGGCAACTCTATTAGCACACTAATAATTTGTTTAAAAAATTGATACAAGAATTAAATACAAGTTACTAGAATAAAATATCTTGTAAACTATTGGTTTTTTGATACTTTCATTTTAATACTTTTATGTATTTATAAAAATTTTAGTTTCAAAATTTATATTGCTAAAAATCTATCGTTATCTTTTCTTTTTTTTTCTTTAATGTTAGGAATAATAAAAATTTGTATTTGATTATCCTTCTATTATTTTTTTAAACAAATTGTTAATACTGACGAAATTTTCAGGATTATATATAAATATTCGCTTTATAAAAAAATTTAAATAAAAAGTCTAAATAAATTTTAAATAAATTATAATAAACAAAAAATTGTTTCTTACGTTTTTTTTTTTACTTTATTGAATTGACTTGATTTACATTATCGAATGCTGTATACGTGAAAAATTACACATCACATTGCGATGTGTGATTAAACAAATATTAAATACTGAAAGAAAATTTTGTAATATGGAAGTGAATCATCATAAAATTATAGGATCATCACAAGACTTCATTGTAGAAGATAATCGTAAGATTTGTCACAGAAAATGAAACCTTTGAAATTTTTCTCTAGAAAATGTAGAATTTTATTTTCCTTTAAAGGAGTAACATCGTTTTGTCATAAAAAAGTTGTCATCGTTGAGTTGATTTTTTAAACAAATTGTTAGTATACTAAGATTTCTAGAACGGTATAATTAAGTATTATTCATCATAAAATTATCATGGAATTTTATTTAAAAATATAATCGCGTAACGAAAAAAAGATCATCGCGGATTTCATCGCAGAAGATCATCGTGGGAATTTGTTGCAGAAAAGGCTCACATCATGGGATTCTGTCGCAGAAGAGATCATTACGGGATTTCGTCATATAAGATCATCATAAAATTCCATTACAGAAGAGGACCATCGTGGAAGATCATCACAGAACTTTTATCATAAAAAAGGATCATCGCGGGATTTCATCGCAGAAGAGGATCATCGTGGGACCTTGTTGCAGAAGAGGATTACATTATGTGATTCTGTCACAGAAGAGGATCATCACGGGATTTCGTCATACAAGGTCATCATAGAACTTCATTGCAGAAGAGGACCATCGTGAAAGGTCATCACAGAATTTTATCACAAAAAAGAATCATCGCGGGATTTCATCGCAGAAGAGGATCATCGTGGGACCTTGTTGCAGAAGAGGATTACATTATGTGATTCTGTCACAGAAGAGGATCATCACGGGATTTCGTCATACAAGGTCATCATAGAACTTCATTGCAGAAGAGGACCATCGTGAAAGGTCATCACAGAATTTTATCACAAAAAAGAATCATCGCGGGATTTCATCGCAGAAGAGGATCATCGTGGGACCTTGTTGCAGAAGAGGATTACATTATGTGA